CCCTTCCACCAGGTTCAGGTCTATGTATGCCAGGAAACAGATGTTTCCTTACATTTTTCTTCAGTGCAAACAGAATGAATAACCTTACTGCCAAAAGCTAAACAAACACCTTACCAAGAGTTTATTACTGAGAATGACTTGAAATAATATTTGTATCATACATTGCTGTGAATGGCTTGTACAAAGTGGAAAAAAATCTTGTTGTTATGCTCAGATAAACGTTTTTCAGATTTCTTTGGCAGAATTTACTTTATAGAATTTTCTCAGGGTATATTCAAAATCCTTTACTTCTGTCATGTCATATTTATTTTGAATTAATACCTTAAGCTGAAAAAGCATGTGATGGCCTGGTAGAAATACCATGCATTCACAGGAGGTATGCAAACACAATGTAGCTGCAAGAGTCAAATTTCTTTTAACTTGTGCAGCAGTTATGGAGCAGGACTGAGCCTCATCATCAGAGAGTGGTAAACCAATGGGGTAAAAGTGTTTTGAGATCAAGGAAAAGGATTTAGATTATATAATTTGCAGAAACTGATCCCTCTGCCAACTTGATTAGGCTCGGAGCTAATATGCCAGATCAAACACTTCTGGTCAGATATGTGATGTGCAAAGACAGCAGAGAAACAGCTCAAGGTGCTATCACCTTTTACCACTGCTGAGCTCTTTAGTCTGAAAAAGCGAGACATGTATGCTGTCATAAGGGTGCCGAGTGCAAAATGCACCTACCAGCATATAAGGAAGAAAAGTCTTTTTAAAGTAATTTATGTGCAGAAATCATTAGGAAGAAGACATTTTTTAAATATAATCAAAATAAAGCATTTAAACTACTGCTAAGCATAACTGTTTTTTTCTATGTTTGCAGTTAACATTTGCTAAAATGCAATAAAACCCCAAATCTGCTTTATGTGCAATATGCGATTATAAAAGAGGTACACTGTCATGAAGATTTTGTGATTTCTGCTAAATATATATCAACTTTGAAACCACTTTACACCACTGTACTTTAACACATTGCAGATTTGCAAAAAAGGTGCATATGACTTGTGTGTCTAAAAAAAGTCAGCCCTTTCTCTAAGCTCAAAGACTGCACTGATCTCATGGGAATATTGTTAGTGATGGCCAGATCATGATTTTTATTCTTGATACTGATCCAAATTTATTTAAGCTTTGGCTTTTGCCACTACAAAGCCACACTTACACTTTAGAAACTATTCCAATACTGCGGTCCCTGTGGGTGACTGCTGCCACAGAATATCAGGGTGTAGACAGGAAGCTGAAGCAGCCAATACAGTCTCTTTTTCATTGCCCATACCATTGTAAAGGGTGAAAAGCACTCATTGCTTGGGTAAACTCATTTTCAATGGATCCACAAAATAATGTGCACAGGGTATGATTTTCAGGCCATGCAGACGAAAAAAAGGAGGTACTTTGTAGAAAACTGACAGCGTAAAATATTCTTGCAAAGCTTGCAAACGAACTATGTGTGGAGCTGACATAAAATCTCAAGTACACCAATATCAGGGATCAGGAGTCGAGTTTAGTCAGGGAGTCCGAGATCAATCACTTAGAAGTGCTTTTATCAGAACCCCAATGTTATACGTTAGATTGGCTCCCTTGTCAGATTTTTTTTATCTCACATTTGGTGAAAACAATGAGAATTTTAAATGAAGAAGGGATTTTGTTAAGTGAATGGCTCGTATTTAACATACATCAACATTTGCAGCTGTAACTACCTGACTTCACTATTTCCTGCTAAGAAGCAAATGTTCTCAATGACATTTGTCAATATCTACATATATTACGTTGCTGTTTCTTTAAGGAGTCTTCCTTTTCTTGCTTGAAATGAAGAAATCAAATGATTAAAAAACATGGGAAGAAGAGAAATCTACAGCCCTTGCCACCAGAAAAGGGTTATAGTGTATAGAGAATGTATGGTAAGGATCAGAATGACCTGAACCACAGCGGATGCCAGATTTTATATAATAAAAGTCAGAACAGAAAGGTAAGCATTAGAACAGTATGTCCTGCTGTTTAGTTGTTGGTGGTGGCAGGGGATTTTACGTTCCGCTACAGTTCAAGGAAATACTAGCACTGAAAATGTCCCCTGCACAGATACAGCCTACCTGACTGATTTGTTGCTGTAACTGTCTTTCAGTCTGTTGCTAAAGCGGATTACATGGAAAGCAGCGCAATTGAATGATATGAGATAGTTGTGAAGATCTGTGAGCTCTGTGAGTTGGTTTCTTTTTGTTGCTAAACTTTTCTCCTACCTTTTAACTTCAAAAGCAACATTATTATGTTAAACGACACAGCCTGATCTGTCTTTTCAATGCTGCTCAGATATTTTGTAGAGATAAAGTCTTGCAGAATCAGTGCAACAGTCGACAGGCTGCTTTGTGCTTTTTTTCCTTACGGCTGGTGGTCTAACTGCTAAAAGATATTGTAACCAGGGGCTTGCAAGAGTATCAATAGCCAATGAACTTGGTCACATAAGGGAGAATCAAAAAATGCTTTGTATTGTATTGAGCTTTTATGTGAAAGACTAAGACAAAGTAGTGCAAAGTGGAAGAAAAACATACCATGGTTTTCAAAATGTTTAAAGATAGAAATCTGAAAAGTGTGGCGTGCAGTTGTATTCAACTGCCTTTACTCTGATAACCCAAAATAAAATCTTTCCAACCATTTGCTTTCAGACACCCCCTTCTAAGTAAATAGAGTACATAGCTGTATAATTTAATCTTAATTTAAATACAGCTAAATGCTATGTGTGGCAGAAAACCTATAACGCACATCACCCTAAACATACCATCACTGTGAAACATCATCATGTTGTGGTGATGCTTTTCTTCAGCAGGGACAGAAACGCTGGACAGAGTGGATGGTAAGTTTGATGGAGCTAAATAAATAGCAATTTTAATGAAGTTAAAAAAGCCTTCAGATTGGAGCAGAGGTTCACCGTCCAGTGGACAACAACCTTGAACATACAACCAGAGCTATGTTTAGGCTCTCAAATCCTTTGTGTTAACAGTCCATAAATTAGCTGGTTTGGACTAAAGCATATTAATGTGTTGGAACAGCTCACTCAAAGACCACAGCTTAATCTGAGTACTAATTTGAGTCTTGACTAGATATTTGATGTTAACATAAGATTTCAATCCAATCTAACCAGATTGAGCAAAAGTTTCAGTTTCTGGATATTCAAAGCAAATACTCCTCTGCTCCCTGGTATATTAAATAAATCCACCAAAAATACTTTAAAGTTTGTGGTTTTAACTTAACAAAATGTGGAAAAGCTAAATGGGTATGGAGATCATCTTGTGATTGTCAAAGGTTAGCTATTGTTCTATTAAGGTTATGGTAATATAGGCAAACATCTCTTACAAAAGGCTTAGTCAAATTTCTGCACATGCCTGTATGTTGGCGTTACTTTAAGGAGGGTTTTTGGGGAAGAAAACACTCACTTTAGGACTATACAGCATACACTCTATGAAAACATGAAAAATATGAGACCGATCTGACCTACAACCAATTGTCAATAAATTAACAAAAATCTGGATATAAAGGTCCTGTCCAGGGTGTATCCCGCCTCTCGCCCATACACTGTTGGAGATAGGCACCAGCTCCCCCGCGACCCACTATGGAATAAGCAGTAGAAAATGACTGACTGACTGACTGGATATAAAGGTAATGGTAAAATGTATTTTTCTTCATCAGTTAGACTGCTGTTGGCAAAAAAGTTTACATCCCTTTACAGTTGAAAATTCCCCACAAGGCCTGCCTTCTGCATTGGTTTGTGTCTGCCATTGTCTTTCAGTTTTTCGTTATAAGAGATTAAGGAAGAAATGTTTCTTTCTCCTATTGTTCCACCTTTAAAACTAACAACCAAATCATGTCCTGACACGAACCTGACAGTTTTTAAACCAATTTTTTGATAAACCTGCACAGTCAATCTCTTAAATGTCTTGAAATAACTGTCACTGTACCTGCTCATTGTTACATCAGTAAAGAATAATGTGTTACACATGCCTGACGTAGATGCTGATGAGACATCTGATTGTAATTGACATCTTACTGACACACAAAGGAGTTGTATGACTTAGTCAGAATTACTGTTATCCAGATGAGTAAGAAGCAGAGAATGTGATTTCGAAACCACACCACAGAGGAATGTACTGGCATGCCCTGAAATCCTCCCTGTTAACAGAAATCAAAGCTGTAAAGTCTGTGCTCTGTAGGTAATAGTTGAACAGTTGATCAAATTATGTATGAATTACTAAAATGCATAAAGTCAGATTACGCATGATTTCTCTGGTTGTGCAGGGTTCTAAATTGCACTACTATTAGTTATGTACATACAGTATAATTTGCAGGTACCTGATGTACTGAAACTCTTTTCTCCTGATGGATTACTTGGAAAATTCCTAAGCTGTTGCTTTATAAAGAGCCAACAGGTTTGGTATGTCCCCAAAGGTTAAACACAAAGCCTGCATGGCAATGCTGGTAGCCATTCAGATGTGTTTCCTCGCTTCATGCCAGGGACAACATCTGCATCTAAAGGTCCAGACCATAATCCCATGTATAAATACAAATACAAATTATGTTATGACTTAACCTCTGCAAGCTATGAAGATTTTCTTTTCCAAATTCAGGATGAACAGAATGAAAAACCCTTAGTAAAGCTAGTATGTGGTATCATATCGTTACAAGAAGTGAAACTACAACTGAATTCTATCAAAGAACCGAAAGTAAATTATCTAGAAAAAAATTCTGTTCATTTACTGTTACATTTAATAACAGCAGGTAAAGACAGATGTCCACTTAAATATTTAAATTATCTGAGTAATAATAAAAATACCTTTATTATAATAACTTTTTTGCATTTGTTTATCAACACCAAGAGAAAAAATGATGGCCGAATCTTTAAATACCAAAAAATCATAAAAAAAGGCTTTCCTGGTCTGCTTATGTTCTTTACGTCCTGTAAACTCCATGCAGAAAGACTGCTGGCTGGGATTCGAATCCAGGACCTTCTTGCTAAAAGGCAACAGTGCTACCAACTGCGCCACCATGTAGACCTTCAGTTCAATTACGTTTTATTTATATAGCGCCAATTCACAACACATGATGTCTCAAGGCACTTTGCAAAGTCAGTTCATTGGAATAATACAAATTTCAAGTCGGGTACATACATTCCAATACAACAACAGACGTGTTTCAACTAACAATTAAACCTGGATAGACTCACAAAGAGAAGAAAGGGATGCAATTAGAAAAGTTTATCAGTGAATGTTTATTTCTTTGGCACTCGGACCCCAGTGGAAAACGTGACTGCTGAGGATGACATGCGCTTGAATGAACATCTTAGGGTTAGAATTAAAGGTGTCTTCCCCCCTGGGATCCGATCCTGGTGGTGGAGTGGAGCCCTGAGGAGATTTGGAAGGAGTTTGGAAGCCAGATGGTGGTGATGGGGTGGAGCTGTGTCAAAGTTCAGCTGAAGAACAGAGAGTTCCATGGATGAAGATCTTTTAAAGGGGAGCCTTGAAGGATGATTGGCCGGGGAGAAATGAGGACTTGACGCTGATTAGTGGAGCAGAGCCGCATGGAGGAGTAATTAGACTAAGCTGGAGGTGATGGTGAGTCTTCCATGTTGAATTTTCGTTTAAACTCCATTTCAAATAACACAAAACTGGTTAAATAACCCTAAAAACGCTGATTGCACCCAGCCTACCTGTCCATCCTATTGAAAGAGTCAAACTAAACATCTATTCCTCATTCCAGCCAAATAGTTTTGGTGCCTTAAAGGACCATGTAAATGTAAGACTGTTTTAAACAGAATTTGTGACAGACTTGCAATTGTTTTGAATTGGATCAAGTAAAATAAAATACTAAGATTTGGCCTGATTTTCCGGAGCTTTGACGTTTTTTGACTGACCTGAATAATTTCATTTATTTGACAACAGTCTGTTGAAATTATAGTGAGCTAAAGGCCTGTTGAAACATGCCCATTGAAGTATTGTTGTTTGGTACCAATACACCCAAAAATGTAAGAATTTTACCTATTTAAATAAAGTGCTGACAAAAACAGCTTCCCTACCTCAGTGAAATTTAAGCATAAAGCGGCTCTGGATTCCAACTACTATATATGCTTGATCTTGATTTGATCCTGATCAATTACTTTTCAGTTTTCATTTTCATCTTTGTTTTGTGATCATTAAAATCTTTGGAAACTCAACACCTTTCTTGAAACTGAATGACACGGCAGCCTACAGCAATCAATGTCAAGAAACTAATCAGAGTTTGATTAGCAGGAATGCTCCTCCTATTGATCTGTTTCTGCAACAAGAGGCTGCTCAAAGTGCCCTGAATGAGCAGCATTCGATCGCCTAGTGAGGTTAAACACAGTCTGTTTCTGCCAAGGCAACTGCTTCGGACAACAGGTACGACAGCCAGAAATGAGAAACTGCCTGTGATCCCTTGCTGAATCACCGGCTCTTTGTTCATTATGTCTCTAAGGGGGGGGGGGGGGGGGGGGGGGTTATTTACTGGACACCTCTATGACACAAAGGTCTCGATTAATTTGATGGGATGTCTCAGAAGAAAGTGTGACCAGGAACAGATGTATAAGCAGGAAATACTTTACTGCAGCTCAGAGATGTCTTTTTAATTTTCTGACAACTTGACAGGTCGACAGGTGTGAGAAAAGTTCAATCTTGTCAGCGCAGGTGGTGATGTTCACACCTTTTCTCTCCAATGACTGACAGCAAAGATGAACTTGTGCCTTATTATAAGAATGTTGTCATTTACTTGTACACGGTGAAACTGCTGGGAGCGTCAGGAGACTGAATAGCTCTGTCGGCTAACGATTTTTCTCATCAGTTTCTCAGAAATAAGCATTACGACTTTGTGCTGGTGAGTTATGTCCTCATTATCGCCTAGTTATTGCAATAGCAACAGAGAACTACCAGATAGAACATGATGATGGTAGCAAGGATGATGATGATCAAAATGTTCACACTGCATGTACTAGTTTTTATCAAACTGAGCCAAAATGACCTACATGATGATATAAATCTGATTTTAAATCAGTCAGAACAACAGCAGTACACTTGGAAAGTAATAAGTAAATTATCCATTGATCTCCTATACCCTCTTTTTCCATACAGACTTACAGGTGAGCTGGTGCCTATCTCCAGCGTTCTACAGGCGAGAGACAGGGTACACCCTGGACAGGTTGCCAGTTGATCGCAGGGCAACACAGAGACACACAGGACAAACAACCATGCACACACCCATTCATACATAAGGGCAATTTAGTGAGACCAACTAACCTGTGGAAGAAAGCCGGACTACCCGGAGAGAACCCACGCATGCACTGGGAGAACATGCAAGCTCCATGCAGAAAGCTCCAAGGCTGGAAGTCGAACCCAGGACCTTCTTACTGTTGTTTGAGTGCCAAGAAAAAGCCCAACAGATTTACTTTCACAAGTGGAGCATTACAGCTAACGCTTTAAAGCTCTGCTTAATATTTAGCCTAAACCGGCTCAGTTATGGTTGAGGTGCAAACACACCCTCCATTTCTGCTACCTGTATGACCCCTTGTCTTTTCCAATGTTTATAATCAGTCTGAAAGAGAGAGGTTTCCCAATCGTTGTGGTTTTTAGTATAACAATGGCCATCATTGGGCTCTAGATGGACAAACTGTCTACTTTTAAGGCTAGGTTTAAAACTTTCCTTTTTGATAAGTTATCCTGAGCTATCTCTGTAGTTATGCTGCTATAGGCTTAGGCTGCTGGAGGACATAATAACCACTTTCACCCTCTTCGCTACATTCTCACACTACTCTCCAATTTTGCATTATTTGCTGTTATTTCAGCTTTTAACTTTGTTCTCTCTCTTTTCTCTTCCTAGAAGCTACACCTGGCCTGACTCTGTGTCTACCTGTGACACCTTTCTGGAGAGGGTCATTGTCCAAGCTTCTGCTGGCAACAACTTAATGCTCACCTTCTACAGATGATCCACATGGCCCTGTCTTTCAGTGTTTAACCCTTTCTCTCTCCTAGACATGGCAGTTGACTGAGCTTTTGCTGTGACTAACTCTATGTGCTCTCTTTCAGACTCTAACCTTGAAAACTGGCTTAGAGTTTATCTGTTCTTTCTACGTGAAACGACTAAAGGACATCCATTAACATTTATTTTCCTTCCCATAGAAAGGACTCCTGGATCAGTGCTTCTTTGTTCTCTTTGTGTCTCTGATCTGTTCTCTCTAACCCCCAGTCGGTCGTGGCAGATGGCCGCTCACACTGAGCCTGGTTCTGCTGGAGGTTTCTTCCTGTTAAAAGGGAGTTTTTCCTCTCCACTGTCGCTACATGCATGCTCAGTATGAGGGATTGCTGCAAAGTCAACGTCAGTGACTGTCCACTGTCTCTACATGCTCATCCGGGAGGAGTGACTGCTACAAATCTCTGGCTCGATGCAATCTGTTGGGTTTCCTTAGATAGAAAAACTTTTTATCCAATTTGAATAAATAACTAACTCTGACTGCACTGTTCAATGATTAAGATTAATTGGAATGAATGTACCTGAGTTTTGTGAAGTGCCTTGAGACGACATGTGTTGTGAATTGGCGCTATATAAATAAACTGAATTGAACTGAATTGAATTTATAAAAAGAAACTTTATTAGAAACTGCTTTGGAATTATTTCAGTTGTTACAGACACGGAGACAGAAATGAAACGGAAAATAAAAGAAAGACAGAAAGGGTGGCCAAAAAGGAAAAGGGGAGGGAATGAGAAAAGAATGGATGAAAGAAAGAAGGTTGAAGAGAATACAAGATAACACCCTGCTTGCTTCTACACCTGCACAAACGTTCATATTAACAGCTTTTTTACCGAAAAGTGCACGGTACCTCTCAATCCAAGATGTATTTAGTGGTAAATGCGGCTCAATATAGGACATTTGTGTATCTGTTAACACCTGAATCTAAACACCTGTGGGTCTGAGTGTGAGCGTGCTTGTGTATACTAGGTTTCGCCATAAAAATATGCAATACTGAGTGTGAGGAGTCACAGACCTGCCCCCCTGGACCCGGGACAGATACGGAGGAGATCCAAGCCACAGACATCCCAAGGCCTCCCTAGAGCACAGGAACCCCAGGAGAACCACCGCCGGGACTACCGCAACCCCCCCAGAGAAGAGCAAGGGAGAGTCCCAGGGGAACCACCCAGCAGCCACAGTGCAGAAGCCCCAGGGAGCTGCAGCGACGAGGCCACAGGCTCCGCCGACAGCCGTCTACGCCCGAGCAGATCCAGCCATGGACCCAGAGACCTGAGACATATCATTCCCCAAGTAGAGGCCCGACAGAGCCTAGGGGTCCAGGCCCCGGCAAGCAGCTACTGGGAGTGAGCCAGCACTCACCAAAGCACCCAGCCCCGGATACCAAGAACCACAAGTACACTGGTGGGCAGAGACACCAACCACCGGCAGGTAGTGTGGCGGGGAGGGAACGCCACCCTCATGCCTACAAATAAAAACACTCACACCCACGCACCCTATGTAAAGACAAACAACAATGGACGTCGTAGACTCACTCACACTCCCCATACATACTCTATACTCCCTGGTCCAGGTGCCGATACCCCATAGGAACAACCAGCCCCGGACCCAGGAGGTGGTCCCCTTCCCTCCAAGGGTGGAGACAGGCAGACTACCCCAGAACCTGAACCTGGCCCTGACCTCTTTAAACCAAACAGTATTTGAATATCAACCCCCTACCAAAATCAGGCTATGAACCAACTAGCAGCTCATGAAAATACAGAGCACAAAAACTAAACAAGAGAATTAAACTAAAACACAGGTCCAAGCTTACCAGAGCAGGATTAGAAACTATTTGTCATAATGTTTACTGCCGACCTGACCCACATGGAGAGACACCCAGAGACAACGTACAGTTCTTATGATTAGGTTTATTATTTTACTAGCCCAGGAGGAGGAAAACGGGAGATCGGGGCTCGAAACCCACTGGCTGCAGGGAAAAAAATCTGGTTAGAAACTGGACCTCAGAATGGCGCCAGA